TCCCTACAGAGGAGAATCGGTATATCCTATCCGCAGTAGACCACTGCTCAATATTGGCAGAGCACCTGCAGTCCCTCTCAAGCCTGAGGGTGCTGATTATGAATAAAAATTTACTCCATCGATTTTATCGATTTTTGGAAAATTTTGAGCTACGAGGTTGGGAGTTGGTACAAAGGGGTAAGTGAGGGTGCTGATTAAAACCGAAATCTATTTTATTGATTTCAGCAATTTTTGAAAACATTTTGAGCTAGGAGTTGGTATAGGGGATACTAGGGGGCTGATTATGATTGGATCGGCTTTAGCCAGATATGTCGGCAAGTTTGAGATGTGATTGCTATAGTTATTCGATAAATCATTTAGATATTTATTCGAAATTCGACTTTCAATGTTCGAATATATTCGATATTCATTCATTCGATATTTTTGATTTTCCGAATTTATTCGAAATTCACTCATTCGATATTTTTGATTTTCCGAATTTATTCGATATTCGTTTATTCGAGATTTTTTATTTTCGAATTTATTCGATATTCGTTTATTCGAAATTTTTTCTTTTCGAATTCATTCGATATTCATTCATTCGATGAAAAATTATCGAATTGCCCAAGTATAGCGACAAGGCGATACTATATCACCAAAACTATTTATTGCCGCTCTGAGAACGTCATGCGTAAGTTGGAATGGGACAATATGGGAGTGAAAGTCGACAGTTGGCAACTACACCATCTTCGCTTTGCTGATGACATCGTATCGCACAGGCGGAACAAATGCTGGCCCATTTTGACGAAGTGTGTCGAAAGATCGGTCTACGGCTGAATCTAACGAAGGCGATGTTCATGAGGAAGGAAAGAGTGCCTGATGCTCCCTTCATGCTCAACGGGACGAACATCATCAAATGCTTCAAGCTACACCTACCTAGGTCGTGAACTCAATACGATGAACGATCTACTCCGGAACTGAGTAGGAGGAAAGTGCAGCATGGGGAGCATATAAGACAATTGAGGACGTAGTGAAGAAGACAAGAACATCCGGCTTCGCGCCCACCTTTTCAGCTCGACGGTTCTTCCTGCTTTGACGTACGCTTCAGAAACATAGACAATGAGAAAGCAGGATGAACACGCGGTTAGCGTCATTGAGCGAGGTGTTGAGAGAGTGATGCTAGGAGTGAATCGACTCACGCACGTTAGGCAAGGATTACGAAGTTTTACCCTACGTCAATGATCGGAGATCAGGGACGCTGCTGCGTACGCCAAACAGAACAAGATAAAATGGGCCGGGCATGTAATGCGTTTCGACGACAACCGGTGGACGAGAGCTCTAACAGATTTGATACCACCGGATGTCAAACGTGAACGAGGAAGATCGCCGACACGATGGTCAGGTATGTTCACGAAGTCCTCCTTCAGAGCGTTCCACATGCTCCTGGTGCGATACGTAAACACTGTTCAACAGTCCCCCGAGACAGGGGCGAATGGAGGCATCACTGGTACTTGCTCGTGCAACAGTGATCAAGGGGGATACGGGTGATACAGGTGATACAGGTGGAGTTGCCAAATGGCGCACGTGGCGATCAGCATTGCAGCACCCACTACCCAGAATCTGAAATTGGACGGCATGTTCCAGTTGGATCTTTGAGCAAGATGTTGTACAGATGGGAGGAAATAGCTGGAGTCCGTCGAAAGCATTCACAATGCTTCTCACCTTGATCCAGCGGTGGTTATGAATGCCCATAGACGACGATGTCCCCTGTATGCCGAAAGATTGGAAGATGCGGAAGGAATTAAGTACGATTATGCGGAATGATCGTACTTAGTTCCTTTCGCATTTTCCAATCTTGTGGCATCATCTTCTGACACTCTAGACAAAAGGTCATGCTAATACCCCCATTGGAGACATTCTAGCTGAAGCCATCACGATGCTGGGTTAAATTGAAGCGCCGTTTTCATACAAAAACAACACAACAAGGACCGTAATACGTTCATCGCGCTACCACATTCTTTCGCAAAAGTGGACGACGAAATTGCGTACGCGAATAACATTATCATATATATTTACAGAGAATTCCGAAAGCTCGCCCACAAGCTGTCGTCATCTCGATAGGTCAAGAAGGCGATAGTCGTCACCTAAGGCCCGCTACTCTATCGGAATGCAGACACAGGAGACAGTTTCTAATAAGTATTGAAAGGCATCTCCAAAACGGAAGAACGCTCGTCTTCCTTCCAAGCCCCTTCAAAGATCGTGCGGAACAGTGGAGAAATTGGTGAAGATGTGCGATTCCTTGCGAATTCTAACCGATCCTTCACGCAACTTCGCTGTCACACGCGAACACTATTCTGGTGTTCTGGATAGCCGCCATATACGCACTCAGCCTGCTGCCTGGAACCAATTCTAGGAATCATCATTAACCCACCATTCACACGCCCAGAGATATTGATGTTCCTCGAAAAAGTTAAGATTACCGTAGATGATTTGATTCGGCTAACTGTTTTCGGACCCGCATCCCTCGAACTATGCGAGCAGCGAAGACAGGGGAAGAAACTGAAGGAGCGTCGCCGCAAGGAGGACTATACCTAATTATTGGGTTATTGCCGCAAGGCAAGCGTCACTAAGCACCGATAACATTCCAGGACCCAGCCCCGAAGCGCAGATCGGATTGCTTGGTAGTAAACCTGTCGAAACTCAGAGTTAACTCTGCATTACTCTGAGCTACCGCGCACATTTTTGACCCTCTTAGCAGGTGCTTGAACAGACCAGAGCTGGAAAGCAATGATATGGCAAAATAGTAACGGTAGTTATTCTAAGTAGAGCAACATTGTCCAAATCGCTCTGAACATGAAACAGCGTCACCAAATGCGCAAATGAGCTCTGCGATGACTCTGGGTGTGTGTTCCAGTCTTTCTCTGACCAAGCTCAGAGGTAACTCTAAGTCAGTCTAAGTCTTGGTCAGCAGAAGAGAAATAGTGCACAAAATAAGTGGAAAGCTAAAATCCTCCGGGAGTTATTCTCGTAGTTTCAGCAGGCATGATGGGGTGACGTGGTGCGTAGTGATTTACAAAATTTTGGAATTTAAATTCTTGTCCCAGGGTGTTATTTGGTGCGCAGATCACGAATATGATACTCATTTTTGACCACGGGTCATATAGCCGGCCTACGGTAGGTTTACGGTAGGCAGGAGAAAGTCACAAATTTGGCCAAAACTAAGGCCGTTGGGTTATTCGAGCGCAGATTACGGGCAGTCTACCTGTTACGTACAATGGTGTCATTTGAGACGATTACGGTAGATATACGGCAAGTGGGATGAAGTCACGAATATGACTAAAATTCGACTCAGTGATATTTCACCAACCTACTTTAAAAAACCCTTCATGCGGCGGTGCCATCTGGGAGGGGAGGGGAGGGGATATCGGTAGGCATAAGATAATGGACCATCATAATAAGGACAAACCTTACCCAGAGGGTTTACTCTGTGCGCAAATCCTAGTATGCCATTCTTATCATTGTATTATACTGGACCGAATCGAATGAATATTCGAGTATTCGAATAAACTATTCGAATAAAAGTTATGCGAAATTAGATTATTCGAAATCGAATATATTTGGTATTTTCGAATATATTCGATATTTATTCGCTTATTCAAAATTTGTCAATTTCGAATTTATTTGATTTGGTTATTCGAAATTTTTGACTTTCGAACATATTCGAACATTCGAACACCTACTTCCAAAAGTTATTCGATTATCCGACATTTTCGTGTAGTCGAGTAACTACATGACAGCGTCGCATTTTTGATTGCTATATCAGCAAATACCGTTTGTCGTTTAAGTTGCTCACTATACGGAGTCCTTCATTGTGCTAATTCAATCAAAATTTGTTCGAATATTTGACATAGGCGACGCAAAGTATTCGTTTATTCGAATTTGCTTACCGAATGTGTTCGATTATTCGAAATTTTTTCATCTCGAGAATATTCAATATTCGATTACTCGACAATTTTCATATTTCGAAAATATTCGATATTCGATTATTCGGAATTTTTGATTTTCAAAACTATTGATATTCGGGTATTCGACATTTTTTGTTTTCGAAATTATTCGAAATTAGAATTCGATATTTTTGATTTCCGAATATATTCGATTATTCGATTAAAAAAATTTCGAATATTCCAAAGTATATTGCGTATGCCAACCACTCTCACTATTATTTGAAGCTTTCAGCTGCACAAAAGACTAAGCCGTGTGATAAACCACCACTACTCGACAGAAAAGGAAATGAGTGAAGCTTTGATATAATCTAGTTTGACATGCTTTGTGTTAATGCAATGAGTACATCATGGCAAAGCAACTTTAAGCCTCACGGGTGTGCCGTGGTCTAGCGATTTAGTGATAGGATATTTGAGCAAGTCTTTATAGGTTCGAGTCCCAACTGCAACATCGATTTGCAGCAAAGTGCGTAACAGCTCCTTAAAAAGCAAAAGTGCTTAAGGCCTCGGACAGAGTTCACGCGATTTGATCGTCGCGATTCAATCGCCGCGATGTCCAAACATTTTCATTTTACATTCAAAAATTTCGGGCTGGAAAAGTATCACAAACGAAATGCAAGCTGGTCGGCATGCAATGAACTCCTAACAGTTATCTGATCTGGTCGCGAATACATCGCGACGATCAAATCGCGTGAACTCTGCCCGAGGCACAAGAGTTGGAACTCGGAAACTTGCAAACGAAGCTCGGGGTTTCGATAAACATAACTCTGAGTTTCAAAAACGGAACTCAGAGTTATCTCTGTGGTAACGCGGAGTTTTGAACTCGGAATGTGGACCAAATTACTACCTACCATGATTTTGGCTTTCAAACCTTTTTCCTTTGAAATGCCGGAAAAATGCAAAGCGTAATCGAAATAATCCGACGACCTAAAATTCTATAATTTGTTGCCCGAGCAAATGCGTTCTGCATCAAAATCGCGTAGAGCAAAGGCAGAGGGCGGAGTCGGAGCGAGTTCGACGATGTAGTCCATGCTCTGGTCGACCACCACGCGTGCCATCGTCCTTGTCGTCACATCACTGTTCACTTCGTTGGCTCAAGAAATCTGTTTCCCAGACACGTAAGTATTTTTCGAAGTCCATCCATCTTACTTATAATTCCCATCCCTCACTCTTCGCATTTTTTCTTTCCCACAAACAGATTTTCCTTTTTTCTGAAAAGTTGGCGAGCACTTTTTTCCCATTCTCACCGAGACGTGCCATCTGTCAGCATTCTCCTTCAAATTTTCTTCTTTCATTTGTCTATCAACAGTTTTTTCAACTTTTTAACTCCCGCATCATTCTACTGAACCACGTAGCTCATTTTTTTCGTATCAACACCAGTAACAATTCTCTTACGGATTATATAATGAGGTAAACAATTATATCCTTCATAGATACTGATTCAATGCAAATGTTCTGTTGCACGATATTTATAAAACCCTCGGGAAGTATCTAGAGTGTTTTCTATTCCTTTTTTGCAAAATTGGCCATTGATGTTATTCACTGTTGCAAATCGCATTGCAACATTTTCTTCAGATTTTTTTACTTTTTTTGCGAAATTTTTAGGTCTAAATAAATACTTTGATTGATATTAACTAATGAGGGAGTAGGTAATGAATGTGAGGTCTGCCTTTTTCAGAACAAAGAGCAATTATACACATTTTTGGATGCTTTTGAAATTTTGAAATTTCGAATATCGAGTAATTTTTAGATTCTCTGACATCTATCCTTGGCAGAAAGCCGCTCAAATGCTGTGATAATGCATAAGATTTCTTTTTCAAATTTTTATATTCGAAAATAGTTAGTTTATATATTTGAATCATTATTTATTTTTTGTTTATCCATTCTCGAAGATAATGAGAATTACGCAGACTAAGTTGAGATAACAAAAAGATGTTTGTAAAGATCTAGACAAGTCTTTCGTGCCACTCTAATAGCAGCATCTTCTAGAATTCCGCTGAGATCGACTGCTACCCTTTTAAGACCTTTTATTGTGCTAAAATGTGGCTACAAAGTTAAATAGTTTAAGTTTTGAACCTTTTTGATGTAGCATTCGCGATGAGCTATACTCCCAGCAGCGTTTACACTGTCGTAATATGATGTTCCTTTCAGCTAGAAATAACAAGTTTGACTGCCCCATCAATCACCACATCAAAAGCAGTCAGGTATCATCACAAAAGACACATGTTCTTGTCATATCTCCCCCCCCCTCGCTTTCCCCTCCTCTCTCAAACGCTCTGCAATCCAATGGTAAGCTCTTTTCACATGATTCGTTTTGACTGCGCAATTGCTTTTTCAATCACGAAATGCAGCTGACGTTGTGTGAGATTGCGGCAAAAACGGTGCGACTTCATTAATTTCTCGAGAAATCTCTCCTCTCACTGTGTGGAAAAAACATGAAGAATAGAAGGCTAAGCTCGACTACATTTTTCACATCGAATCTGAAGGCAGCAGTGGCATAGAGGAATGTAGGGGGAATTGTTGAATAGGTATCCAGCTAGGTGGAAGGATTTCTTCAAAGCCACATTGATGTTAAAATTATTTCTGACAAATTTTGCTTTGTAGGCTCCTAAGTAGAGCGAAAAAATATGGAATTTACAATAAAAACCTCAGCTTTAATGATTGTAACTAGTGATGAATAATAACAATACATTGTAATTATAGTTAAATCTCTGTGCACTATTTTTTTTTCCAGAAAGTTCATATGAAAAAGAGTGAGAGCATGAAATGTCTTCACAGGTATTTCTTTTTATCTGTCTCCATGTTTCATTATTTTGTTATTTAGTATTGCACCATCTGACTTACGAACAATAGTGTTCGAATAAATTGGGAATATACAAAAAAATTAGCACTAGAAATTAATTACTGGAGTTAAAGAGGCTAATTTGTAATATTTCGCCAAATTTTTGTAAATTTCTAAATTTTTTATGAGTAATCACGTTCAATTTTTGGTTACAGCTAGTGTTTGTGGAGGGTCTTATGTTCGATGTTCATTAATAACTAAATAAAGCTTTTTGAGTTGTAGAATATGAGCTACTCTTGCTCTTTGATTCAAAAGAAAATTTTAACACAGTAAAAAGAAATCCATTGAGTTCATCATCACAATCTATATTCTTAAAAATAATTTTTATTATCATTAATTCTTTCGTTTATTTTTCTCCCATTTTCGATGCTTTTATCCCATTCTGCAAACACTCTGTTTGCACATATCCGTGATCTTCGCAACACATCCTGACATCTGGGGCTAATTTCGCTGACACCCCGGTTCAAAACACATGTCAGGCTCAATCTGCGGCGTAAAAAAGAGTGCTGCAAAAGAAATTACATTCTAGGCAATAGTGTAGAGAGCGAGCCGCATGATGTCTCATGTGCGGATTCCTTTCTTTAGAGCTAAAAGTGATGAATGGCTTCAGCAGCTTGGCCAAGCTTCATCGAAATTGGCATGTGTTTCTTCGCCGTCGATCTTCGTTTTGAAAATGGATAAAAGGGCATTTATGGCGTTTGTAGGGTGTACTTCAATAAGGAGAGGGTAACTAAATTGTGGGTGTCCCTAGGGACAAATACAACACTTTTCAGAAACACTATTGATTCTGGGGTCCGAATGGAATGATTAATTCATTCTTTTATTTACTATCTTTCTCTTTTTTTGAAATGTTTAGGGCGTGCCACAAACAGTATGAAAGGTTTTCAAGAGAAAATGCAGCATTGAAAAGGAAAAATCCATAAGTCAACTTTGTTCTGTTTCCGTTTTTTGATTTATTAATTGACTTGATTTATTTTTTTTCCTGCCTCATATGCATCTTATTGAGAGGAAACACGAAAATGAAGTGAAACATTATCAAATTATGGATTATATGGTAGGGTTACTGTAGATGTGCTGTAGTAGTACAGTGATTACCTTCAAGCAAGTTCCAGAATTTTTCTGTGTTGTTGATTTTTAATTCTGTAGAATATATGAATATGTAATGAACAATGAAAAATCCATCCTGTATAATGGTGGATTACGGTGAGATTACTGTAGGGGTGCTGTGATGATACACCATTATGAACGAAATATCCTATCGCTTGTGAGTTTTATTCTACTGTACTTTGTAGAATAGTAGACCATAGGTTGGAAGAAACATCGCCTTCTTGCGTGCTCTAACTCCAAAATATGCCATCTATCTTCGAGTTCGAATGGGGTATGATAGAATTACTGTAGCGTACGGTAATACTACTGTAATCACTTTGGATCGACTTCCATAAATTTTTCTCTGAGTTATTTTTATTCTCAATCAAGTAGGGTATACTGTAATCACCTCAAACGACTTGATATAACTTTGTATTACTCGTTGTGATTACAGAAGCTCTTATCATGTGTGGTATATCTTAGGACTACTGTAGCTATACCGTAATAATACTGTGATTCCTCGAACAAAATGCAGTAAACCTAGAAATGAGAGTAATCCCGCCATTTGAGCTAGAATCCAGTGACGGTAAGGGTTTTGTAGTTTACATGGAGTACGGTAAAGTTTCTTGAAAGTGTACCGTAATAGTACTGCAAAAACAACTTGAACAGAGTTCAATGATTACTACAGTGAATTTTTTTTGTTATTTCAAATATGTAAAATTTACAGTTGAAGGTAGTCTGTCTTTTACGAGCTCTATGACTTCAAATGACTCCAAGCTCGTTTCCAGCTTACAAATCTTTCACCTCTGCGCGTCGTGAAAGCGCTAGTGAAACCTAATCGAGGCACGGCGAGTCCAGTGAGCGAGACTTATATGCCAAACCCTGCATTAGCATCTTCTAAATTGCCTTCGCCGCCACCGACACGCAGAGAGAACTCACGTCACATTCAAAGCAACAGCGGCCACACAAGATAGTTTTTCTTGCGCGCTTCGATAAGCTCCGATTTAGGTGCGACATGTGCAAAATGCACTTTTCGGGATAGTTAAGAGCAGCAGCAGCCATGGGCGAAAATGTCATTATCTGGCTCTACTGGTCGAGGGTGTTGATGACGAATGGGACTAGGGAACGCCCGACTGGCTTCTCGCCTGATTTGCGCACTATCCGTGAAAGCCAATCTGCCTCTTTCGTGTTTATGGGATCTCAAAAGTTGGAGGAGCTGATTCTCGTTCCTGCTCTTAGAGCTGCGCATTGAGGCAGAGAAGGGGTTTCTGCGAGTAAAACATTGGAGTAACTTTTTACTGGAACGATTGCTATGAATTTCTGGAATCGCAAAAACTACAGGAATGGATTTCCTTAGGAAATTTTTTTCATTATTTTCAGCAGGGATCAAAGCGATTTGAAATCTTGAACTTTTATTCTCTCTACCCTCCTCCCTCCCCCGAGAATGTCGCAAATAACTAAAAAGGTCACACGGGTTAATGAAGTTTGCAAATTACTTCGTCTTGCGTCTGTATAACTGATAAATTCATCGGGTTTCGAAAAAATCGAAATTTATGAAATTTTTTGAAGATGCGTGGATGCTGCCAAGCTCATCATTATTTTCCGAGATTCTAAAATCATGAGTATTGCAAGATTGAGAAAAATACATCTCAGAAGGATTCTTGTAGCTTTTTTCATTCTCCCCCTCCCCTTGCCCTCTCTTCCCCATAAAATTCTTGGGATGCCCATGTTCAATTTCTTTGTTTAATATAGGAAGTCAAGATCTGTAGAATGAGCAGTAGCTGACCCTCTAATTCAGAGCTTGCATATTGAAGCATATTTTTCTTTATTGAGCTGGAAATATGCATAGATTTCGAACATTAACCTAATTTTCCCTTTTAGCGGCTGATTTTTTCGCCTTCTTAATAAAAAATTTAGTGAAAGGAAAGTTTCTGACCTGTTCGTTTTTCCATAGTACATTTTCAACTTCGAGATATGAGGCTTTCCTTCCAGCTCCCTACATCAGAGTCACTCCAGAATTTCTCTTATCGACTCAAGGTATGAGGTAAACCACATCAGCGTGGTAAAGCAATTTTGAGGTAAAAACGCTTAGCCAAGCGTACTGACGTGAAAATTCAGAGGAACGAATCAAGTACGCGATTTTCATGCGCAGCCCAAATAGCCCACAAGATTAGAAAAATATGGAAGCGT